ATTACCGGGATTATTTAATGCAAAAAAAAATTGCCAGACCAGAAATTGGCATTGTTTGCAATTAATGTATTACGGTAATTTTTGCGCTGGGACAGGCCAACAATTGGAAATCTGGGTTTTGAACCGTAGGCGACCCGTAGAATTAACCGTAGCCGTAGACATCCCATAGAAAACCCATAGAAATCCGTAGAAAAATATGCAATTTGGCCGTAATTTTGCAAGTCCTGGGATATTGGGTTTTGAATGATTTTTGAAACTCTTGATTTGATCCGAACGTTTCGGACTATAGCCCGAGAGAGGGGTGCTTGCTGGGCTCATAGCTACCTAAGTATAACATAATCTAGTTGAATTTAAGGTAGATATGCATAAGTATCTAGGAATAATTTAGCGTGGATTTATCTAAGGTAGAATTAATTCTAATTTAGTTTTTCATTCAGGTCGAATTTATTAAACCTAAATAAATCCAATCTTTGCCAAAGCAAAGTCTAAGCCTAGCCCCAATGGAATCTTTTAATAATCAATTTTATTTTAATCTTAAAGAGACTAAATATATGATAAAAAATTATCTAATAAATCGTCCCTTTATTTATTTCAACCTTGAAAAAGGAAATATATATTATCATCAATTTTTGCGATAAATAGGCTAGAATTTAGCTTAGAATTTGATATTTAAATTGAATATAAATTAGATATATTATCTCCAAAATAAATCCGAATAATTCTTATATAATTTAGTTTTAGTTTTAACATATTAAACGCAACCTGATCCCCCGCCCCCGGGGTTAAAGAGTAGGCCACCGTATATGTCTGTTCCTTAGTGTTTTGGCTTAAGTGAATGGCAGCCTGCAAGGGCTGCTTCGGACGTCTCCAACTCCCGCCTGGATCGTCCGGCTTTTGCAATCCGTGCTACCTCTCCGTCCGGATTGAGAAACTCGTGTTCACCCGTGTGCCACCGCATTCGAGTGATTAGCTGTTCCAGTACCTCAGGCGTGTGGTGGAGACCATCGAGTCGGCTTGCGAAAGGTTCGAAGCTGACCGCACTGCTGGGCTGGTTGACGACAGCGGGGCACCCGTCCCTGGCAAAACCCGTGCGGTGAACAAGGAAGTTTCGGGGCCAGATCCCTTTGTTCCAGGAGAGCACCGAGGTACTCGAGACCCAGGCGCTGGTCCAGCACGAGTTCAAGTCAAGAAGGAGCACGAGGCGGACAGAGAGAAAGAGCCGGTAGCAGACGCAAAGTCTGGGAAGACAGCGGATCGTGAAAGGTCGAGAAGGCGACGCAGAAGGACTCGAAGCCGCTCCAAGAGAGACGGATCGCGTGCCAGAAGACGGAGTTCGAAGAAGGAGGAAGCACCACCTCGGGGGAAAAGCCCTGTCAAGGAGGAGGAGCAGTCCGTGCAAGGTAGTCCAATTGAGGTCGACGAGTTCGAGGAGGCCCCATTGGAAGAAGAGGAGCACGATTCCCCACTCGAGGTCAAGGACGACGACGAGTCAGACCGAAAGTACAGCCTCACGAGAACAGCAAAGCCATCCGCGAGGAAACCTTTGCCGAGGAGGCCAAGAACGCCCTCACATTCTCCCCCCGGGTACTACCAGGAGGAAAGCCAGCGGACGCCCCGTTGGAAAGGATACAAGCACGTCCTTCGTGGACAGTATTACTCAAGCCACGGCTCCGGCCGTGGTAAGGGCAAAGGGAAAGGATGGCACCGAAGGTGAGACGCCGCCCTGCCGCCGAGCCTCGGCGCATCGGGGTGCTACGTCGGCCAGCAGTTGCAGAGGACGAAGTTCGGGGCGAAGGCCCTGCAGTGGTGGAAGAACTGGGCATTGGAAAGATGGTCCACGGTTCAACAGCAACTTACTACGGAGTGCCCTGTCAGTTCGCGGGGAAGGTGATCGAAGACGCCAGGGACGCATCCGGGCGCTATCTGATGATCAAGCTCACCGGCACAAACTTAGAGAGCCTCCTCACATGGGGGACAGGCTCTCGTCAGCTGGCGAAGGTACACATGTGCACGCCAGAGTGCAACAAAGAGGCCGAAGGGCCGGGTCTTCTACATTGTCAGGAGGCTCGCGCTGTAGGAGGACTTCACGAGCTCGCAGACCTGCCGTGGCGAGACGTTTTGGTCAGTGCAGTGGATCGAGGCGACGACGAACTGGCAGGACTTCGGGGACGGATGGAAGACCTTCCGGGCCCTGCAGCAGAAGGAGCTCAACCTGGCGTGGCGGAAAGTGCAAAAGAGAAGGAGGCCAGCAAGGAGGCCGTGAAGAAGAAGAAAAAGAAGGAAAAGAGGAGGCGAAGAAGCTCCGAAAGCTCAGACCGAAAGAGGAGAAAGCGAGGTCGCAGTCGCGTGAGCCGCTCAAGAGGAGGAGACAAAAAGAAAGAAAAGAAGAAGAAGAAGGTGGAGGCAATCGGGGGGGCCAGCCCTGTGAGGAGCAGTTCAAGCAGCAGCACCAGCGAGACAAGGGGGTACGCGGCGGTCGAGCAGAAGACCATGTTTGCTATGAGTGGTCTCGACCCCTCACGGCGCGTCAGAAACCGCCTGAAGAGGAAAGCTCAAAGGTATGCCCAGAGAAAAGGCCGGAGCAAGTCGGAAAGTCGAAGCAAGAGCAGCGAGAGCGAAGTTCCGCAGAAAGGCGAGTCCATCTTCGGCGAGCCGCACAAGATCAGGGCAGTCGGGGTCAGTTTCCCTGGGGTGTTGTCGGCGGCGGCGATCGAGGACATGCAGGAGCTGATGCTGTTGGAGGCCGGACAGGAATCCGCCCAACCGGAAGGGTGGGTACCTACTTTGCTGAGGTATTATCGACAGATGCTCAGCAGGAGGGTATCTGGCCCGATGGCTCGGGAGCTTCATACACTATGTACGGTGGGCGATCAGATCTTACGTGGACAGCTGCCGTCGGCCCTCGACACGCTGATTCAGCGAGTGAAGTCGCTGGAAGCGCAGATCAGCGGCCTCCCTTGGGCATCAGCCCATCGCCTCGAGCTCTTGCCCAGCGACACAGCGACGATTTCCACCAGGCAAGAACTTCGTATAGCTACAACCGAGCAGAAGGCGGAGGCGCAGGCACACCAGCCTGGTGGCTGGTGGTCGAAAGGCAGCGGGAAAGAACCCCACAAGGGCGACAAGGTGGAGAAAGGAAAAGGAAAAGGCAAGAAAGGCAAGGACAAGCAGAAGAAGGATCCGTGAAAGAAGGAAGTTCGGGGTTTGACAGCCCTGTCAAAAGTCGCAGGGCAGATACAGAAGCCTCGGGCGTTGGTTCGGGGGATGCAGGCCCTGAGTGCAAGGAGGAGTTGCGAGGCTGGAGGCCTTGCGAAGAGCAGCACGATGGTATGACAGCTGGTGGCGCCACTTTGAAGGGGCTGACGGGGGAGCTTTCAAAATTCCCCCCTCCGCCGGCTGCTATTTTTCCGATAGGTATTTCAGAGGGCAAGACGCAAAGCCAAGCGGCGTTCGAGCCCGACCAGAGTTTCTCGGGGCTAGACCCCTCGATCCGAGATGGTTCGGAAAAGCATGGAGGAGTCCGTGACGTGTGTGGACTTCAGATTTGGGAGATGGGTCAGGCAGTGTTGGGTGGATTGCGGGGGGTTTTGACGCTCTGCAGCCAGACCACGGATGGGGGAACCATTCCCGGAATGGTGGTGAAAAGTCGTGATACTTTCCCTCTTCCAACCTCCCGCAATCTTCTCACCCCTTTTGTTCAGGATGATCAACCTTGGTGTACCGATTGGTTGATTGCCGTGTGCTGTGCATTGAATTCATTGTGGGGTTGCCAAGCCAAAGATTGTCAGGAAGACCGTGATGGACACCATCAACGATCCCCTACGGAACTTCAGGCCCGGGTCATCCGTGGACTTATGGAGGACGTCACTCGGTTGAAGCACATCTCGGAAACGACGGCCGCGTTCGAGTGGGGAGATTTCTTCCGAACTCGTACTATTGATTATAAGGGGGATGAGGTGAAAACAGCTTTGTCTTTTAGTTGGTCCAACATCAAGCCAGCCTTGCCGCATGAGATAGGAGTTGCACGGCTGTCAGATATCTGTGAACAGGGTTGCCGCCATTACATTGAAAACTTCCCGTCCTTTTTGAAGCCCCCTTCAGAGTGGGGGCCATACAAGAAAGCCAGGGTGATGGTGCGAGACCAAGATTGGGAAGATGTGGCCAAGGGGCTTATTCAAGCAGGGGTTTTCGGGGTTGTCCCTGAATCAGAAGTTTTCCGTGTGGGGTCGCATTTGTTGCTGAACGGACTGTTTGGAGTGGAAAAGAACGAGGAGTCCGACGGAATTCCTATCTACCGCCTTATTATGAATTTAGTGCCACTCAATGACCTGTGCCAGCCGATGGCAGGGGATATTCAGACTCTTCCCCACTGGTTCGGTATGTCGCCTTTTCACATTGAACCCGGAGAGAATCTGGTGGTTTCCAGCGAGGACTTGCGGTGTTTCTTTTACACCCTGAGCCTGCCACCGTGCTGGTTTCCTTTCCTCTGCTTCAATAAAGCCTTGCCAGCCTCCCTGGTACCAGAACAGTTCACAGGTCAGGTCTGCTACCCATGCTCGAAGGTCTTGCCGATGGGTTTCCTGAACAGTGTAGGGATTCTTAGAAGTGCTTAGTCTAATTTTTTGTAATTTTTTTGTTGTTTGTGGGTTGCCGTTATATCACGAACGGTGCTCAAGCAAACACGTTGAAAAACGAGAAGACAAAATAACTCAAGGGTAGTGAAGTGTCCGTGGCCCCGCAATGAAATATCTATCATGTGGGATTGCTGCCCAGTAAGAAGCTATACTCGAAGTAGACAGATATAATGTGAAAGTCTTGCCGCCAAGACTGGCTTTTATACCTGAGATGGAATGACACTGTTCTTTTTATCCGAGTGTAGCCAGTACTCAGCAGTTTCTGGGGTGTGACCCTGTCAACACCCCTTGGGAACGAGAACCGTCATGTTGAAGAACGAGAATGGGAAATATCTTTCTTACATCCGGCAACCGCATCACTCCCAATCAGCTCATTTTTCCCGCCCAGCCCATGCGACAGGTCGAAGGTTTTTCTTCCAAAACTGCAGCTCCAATGGCCGAAGCAGCCACTGAGGACTGCGCTGCGCGCTTCATGAAGGCCGAAGCAGCCTGATCAAGTGGCCGAAGCAGCCATCACTCCAGCGGGTCCCACACTTGGTCGTCATCTGCAGCGGGGTCCTCGTCCTCTTCTGGTTCTTCTTGGCCATCTTCACCATCATCAGGAGCGGTTGGCGCTGACTTGGGCTTGGCCTTTGGCTTTGTCTTCGGCTTGGGCTTGGGGCCTCCCCTGCCTCTGCCTCTCCCCTTTGGTTTGGCCTGCGGCTTGGCCTTGGGGTCAGGACCGCCAGAGCCCTGAGACGGGGTTTTCTTCAAGCCAACTGCTTCAGAGTAGGCGGCCGAGAACAAAGGAGAGTTCGGGTCGACCATGTCCTCTTTCAACAGCTCGAGCAAGCGGTTCTCCAAGCCACGCACATGCGCCTCGGTGAAGCAGATTCCAACGTAGCCTGTGCGCGTGCGCAGGCATGCCCAAGCGAATCTGGCATCACTTGGTGTCATGTCTACCACCATTTTCGCGTAATAGCCATGCAAAATTTCTTCGTAAAATGCAAGTGGCAACGAATGGTAGCACATGGGTTCGAGCTCATTTGCTGCACGGTTGGACGTGCGATCGCCAGCATCGTCGGCTGTCTTGCCGCCCACTGGCACCAAATGCTTTTTGCCGAGCATCTCCTTTTTCTCCTGCCATTTGACGTGCCATTCTTCCGCCAACTTGGGCCACGCTACTCCAAGCAGCAGGTCGCCATTGCTGCTGCCCTGAAAATGCTTCCGGGTTCGCACAGGCAAAGTCAATTTCTTGCTGCTGAGGACCAAGCAAGTTTCAACTTGTTTCAAGGTTCCCGTGCCTCTGACGCGCTGCTTCCTGGAGGCAAGGCTGTCTTCAGTGTAGGCAATCAGAAGGCTATCCCATACCAAGTTGGGTTTGTCTCCTTCGTCGTCATCCTCGTCCTGCTGTCCTTCCTCCTCTTCATCTTCAGCTGCTGCTCCTTTCTTGTTCCCTTCTCTGCTTGTGCCTTCCTTCCAAGGTGCTAGAAGCTTGTTTTTGTTTCCCTGCTTGCCTCCATCCAAAATCAAACCGATCTCACCCGGTTGGAGGGCACCGGGCCCATCCCCTCCAGATCTAGCGTTCAAAACACTTCGCACCAGCTTGCAGTACGACTGGTCCCTCAAAGTTGGAATTCGAAAGTCAGGCCGTGTCAATGGCTCACCAAATTTCTTGATGTCAAAATGCAAAAGCACTTGACCGGTAGGATCACCTTTCAAAGTGGCATAGCCAGTGTCTTTCAAAGCCTGTTCCAATTCAGCTTGTGATTTGCCTTCTGGGATGAGACGGATGTGTGCCCGGATCGTCTTGAGCATGTGCTGGCGCCATTGCTGCTGGTCCTCGTCGTTCAAAGTGTCGTGGGCCGAAGCAGCCGAAGTGGGAGCAGCAGTTCCTGTGGCTGAAGAATCAGAAACAGCAGTAGCTGCTGCGGCCGAAGCAGCCGACCCAGCAGAAGGAGCCGGAGCAGCTTCCACCGAAGTGTTGGACTCTGCGGCGGGCTTCTTTTCGGAGCGCACCTGTGCCTCCGCATCTTGAAGCAATTTGGCCACGGTCGGATAGCCCAAGAAATCTTCAAGCTCGTGCTTTGCCTTTACTGCGTCTCTGTAGCGGTTGTCAAAAGCTTGATTGTACACCAACTGCTCAATGATGTCAGTCACTTGATTCACACTCTCCGGGCACCCCACCATCCAAGCAGAGTCTGGCGCAGCACTTGCAGGGTAGGGAGCGTACTTCTTCCGCACAGACTCAAAGGACGAAAAGGTGTCTCGCAAACCGTTTTTCCACTTCGCCTCGATGTCCAAGCCCTGAAGCCATTCTTGCAGCAGGTGTTCTTTGACCTTCTTCTTCAATTTCAAGACCTCGACGTAACCTGAGAATCGCAACCAGTTGTTTATTAAAAACAATGGTAGATATGCTGAAAGGAACTAAATGCAAGCCGAGATGCTTTGGCGGCTGTCCTTGACTTTCTGCACCGCAAAGTGGGACAGGTCCACGATGTTCATGCGGAAGCCATCCATCATGCCCAGCATGCACCAAATGATGTTGTCACTGGTGGAAGCTCGGTCCAGCAACGCCTTGAGAGCGTAAATGCTCTTCCAAGGATTGTTGTGCAAAAGCTCCCTGTCTGCCCACTCAAGAATCTGTTGGCAAGGCTCCAGACTGAGCAAGCGCCTGTGAATGTGGCACGCGTCCTCGACAAACGATTTGCTGATTGGTTCGGCGTCCACCGCAAGTTTCAACTGCTGAGTGTAAGCCTGCGCCACCTTTTCAGCCCCAAACTCGTGTCCGGATGCTTTCTCTTTGGACATCTTGAACCCAGCCACATCATAAATGCGCTGTCGGAGGCTCATGCGAACCACCAGGCCATGGTTTACTGCTGATTCTCGGAGATTCTGCGCGCGCCAAAAACGAGCTTCACCAGCTGTCACTGCTTCAAAGGTGAACGAGACCGTCAGGCAAACGCGTCGCCATTCTTTCAACCTTTGTTCCCCCACATTGCTTTGAATATCATGCTGAATCGACAGCAGGAGTGCGTGAACTGGCTCAGCTGGAGACAACCGCTGCCATCCACCTTCAGGCTTGGAGGCCAAGGCTTCTTTGTCTACTGCCACAGTGACCGTGAAAGGAAATGTGGACGGTGGGCTGGAAAATTCTGTTTTTTGGATGGCTTTGACCTGCCCCACATTCACAGGAACCCTGTGGTTGGCCATCCAAATGAGGTCAGACCACCAAATATTGCAGCCGCAACGGTAGCAACCGGCATCGCTGCCAATGGCTTTCTTCAAAGATTCCAACTCAAAAGGAACTTGCTGTCCTCCTTGGCTGACAGTCAATGGCTTCGCTGTATCAATATCTTTGAAGAGTGGGTGGTCGCGGATGCATTTGATTGCTTCGTGAATCTTCATGAATTGCTCAGTACCCACTGCCCCATCTTGGCTGCTGGCCGGAGCAGCCATTGGTTCGACCTTCTGTTTTTTTTTCGGAGCCATGTGGCCGCAGCAGCCACAATTGGTCCTGGCCCTTACTTGTACTAGGTGCTACGCGCAAATCTCGTTCTTGAGCCAAAAACTGACGAAACTATGAAAAATTGAATCAGTGGTAGTTGTTCTATTTCTGGTTATGCGAGTATGCGAATACACAATACGACCATGGGTGAGGAGTAATATCGATCTCAGTTTATGGTATATAACGTATATATTGTGTATATGTATATATATTTATGTATTATCTTTGCTGCTGGATCGGTAAGCTGCTCCAAGGAATTTGAAGGCGCGCAAGTCAACAGTAACCGTTAAAGTGTTTGGGGTCTGATGTCTCTTGACCTCTAACATGCGCGGGGGCAACATTCAGACGACTCCAAGGCACTCCGCCCAGGGCAAGTCATAATCAGTTCAATTTCCCAACTAACCCGCAGATATAGGCCCAGCCTTCCCCAATCATTTTCGGCGACGCTGCGTTGTCACATTCATGGCCGAAACAGCCAATTTTTGTCCATGGCCGAAGCAGCCACGCTGTGGCCAAAGTCGCTATGCTCTGACATGTTAGTCAGCGGCGTCCATGCTGCTGACAAGCATCCGATTGGCAGCACAGCCTGCACATTTGAGATGAGCAGGAAACACCCCTTTGGTTGCGTTTGCAATGAACGCACATGGGAAGGCTCATCTCTGTTGCAGGTCGCGGCGCCCGACCTCCTGAAGCACGATAATCAGCAGCCCGTTGCCTCTTTCGAGACAGCCAGCCTGAGTCGGCAGAACGATGTCCACTGCGTTGTTGTTCCCGGAGTTTTTCTGCCAAGGTGCGCACCTCCCCAGTGAGGTCTCGAACAGCTGAGACAACGTCATTGAAGTCCTCCCGATCCACAGGGCCCTCATCATCCTGTGTCATACGAGCGCCCGGACCTGGAGTCAAGGTTAGTCTGGAAGGCTCCGGCTTGCCCTTGGCATGAACATGTTGGTGTAAAACCGGAGGTTCACTTTCTGGCGCAGGCGGAGACTGGAGACGTGGGCTCTGTTCGGCTGCGGGCGGAGTTTCACCCGCAGCCTGATCTTCAGTTTGGCCAGCCGCAGCAGCTGTAGTGTGTCCGGCCGAAGCAGCCGTTTCTTGATCGGGCTCCACATCCTTTGACGTGTTGGCCGAATCAGCCATAGGTCCTCGGTCGGCAGAAGCAGCCGGCGCATCAGAGCCCTCGTCATCTGTGTACTCATAGTCATAGCTATAAGTATAGCCGTCAGAATCTCCATCAAAACAGTGTTGCCGCAGCGCCCCGTCAGCTACTGCGTCACTGGCCTCAGCGTAGGGTGGCCCGTTTTTCACCAGGGTATCCCAAATTTTTGGGCCTGGCCAACAATTCGTCCCTTTCGCAATTTCGTCCCAGGCTTTGTTCGGGTTGAGCACTGTTTTGGCTTTGCACCAACCGTCATATGGCTTATTGGTGCTTCTCCAGTGCTTGTCGAACAAAATCCCGTACTTCCAATTCACGTGGTTGGCGAAGGTCATGTGGTAGAGACATAGGGTGCTGTCTTCAACAGCGTTGGTGGCGCGGAGGTTCTTTGAGACTTCACCTTTGTCGGCTGCATGTCGGACCAAGTGCACATTCTCAGTGTCCATCTGCATTGCTTGGCAAAAGCGAACCACCCAGTGCTGTGCATTGTTGGGGGCGTTGACACGTGAAATCACGTGCAATTTGTCCCGACCATATTTGGCCCAGAAGCAACGCAGAAAAGCCCATGCCCCTGGCTGCGCCGCCTTCCAAATCGTCAGTCCATCTTGTTTGACCTTGGAATCAGTGCTGGAAAGCACTCCACCGCAATCCAAGATCATGACCATGGGTGGCCGAAGCAGCCACGCTGGCCGAAGCAGCCAGTAACCGCAGTTCCAAGCCGTCGACTGAACTTTAACAGCTGCGGGCCATTGAGTTATCACAGAGTCAAGACTCGATTTTGCAGAGACAGTGCAAGGTCCCGTGGCCACTCTCTCTATGTGAATTTAGCAACGTTTTATGGTATATGTAACTGACTATATAAAGTATATAGAGATCGATGTTACTCCTCACTTCCATTACATCTATCTTGTATTATCTTGTAGGTTATTGAAGTATGGTACTTAGTCTGATGGAGGAAAATTATCGTAAGCAAATCAATGCCTACAGTCAATTGGTCACATAGTTGTGTAAGGAGTAGTCAAGTCGCCCTCTCCTTACACACTTCGGGGACGTCCCCAAAGTGCCGTGCGAGCAGCCAAAAAGTAGGCAAGAGCCTTGAATCAACAACCCGCTTACCGTAATTTCATTTCGTCCTCTTTTCGGCTGCTCCTTACACACTTCGGGGACGTCCCCAAGCTACGGTGTGAGTAGGCAATTCGTCCTCTCCGTACGCATCCCTTTTCCGCTATTCCGAGGCGCGGAAGGAGCTGTCAAGATTCTATCTATTCTAGCTAATCGCTGGGCCGAAGCAGCCCTTTCGATCAGTGGTGTGGCCGGAGCAGCCAAGACCTATATAGGAGGCCGAAGCAGACCTTTGATGATTGCTCGGCCGAAGCAGCCTCGCAAGGCACTACTTGTCTAAGACTAACGAGGAAGGCTACACGCAAAGCGGTCGCACAGAACAGCTTCAGCTGTGTCGCCAAAAAAGCCAGACTGAAGCCATCGCCACTTGAAGGTCGGAGTTTCTAAGCGCGAGAGACTCTGCAAAAGGGTCAAGGCTTGCTGAAACTCATGTTTGGTGAATTCTGTCACCTTCAAGTTGCTCTTCAAGTTGACGCTCCTGTCAGGCAAGCCACAGGCGATACGAGTCACTGGGTAATGACAACTGTGGCTGAAACGAAGAGTGGTCAGAACATCCAAAGCAGTGATCATGACTTCATCGTCTCCGTCAGCGGCAGCATTTGCCCACATCATGGCATTGCGTGCGCACTCCAGAACATCTTCCCAATCCTTTCCAAAGGTTGCTTTCAAAACTACATGGGTGCCATATACTAGCCTTTGGAAATCTTCGCGGGATCGCTCTTCAGGCGTCGGGTTGGCAGAAGCCGCTTCCATCATGGTATAGGAGCGGGTCAAGATCAGAGGAACAGAACCCTAAATGGCTGCAATAGGAAGAATTAGACAAGACAAGTTAGACTCGCGCATCATGAAAAGCACCCTTTTGGCAAACCCCAAGCCAATCAGTCAGTTTCAGGCACTGTACTCCAACCGGCAGCCGAAGCAGCTGTCATACGCCTGGCCGAAGCAGCCGCGTCCTCAGTCGCAGGGAAAGGGTTGTGTCTTGCTGAGAAGGCCAGCCGAATACAACGCCATTTGCATGACTTCTCCAATTAATGGCACAGGGACAGAGTTTCCTAGCATTTTCCTCAGGCTTCCTGATGAGACGGCTGCTTCCCACCCTGTCAGCTCAGCAATCCTAGTTCCATTTAGACGGATCATCTCATTTGTGGTGAGGTGCCGGCCACGCGTGCTGATCCAAAACCCTCCAGAAGGCGCGCGTCCACGACACAGCGTGCGAGCTACGTCAATCCCATATGTCAAGTAACTTTCTGAGCAGCCGACGTCTACGGCAACAGGAACTTTCCTTGCGTCAACTCCTGCTTTCCATGCTTTGCAGTATGCGATCCGAGCCAACTTGGCAGGCCTGGCCCCCTTCGGAAGCCTGCCAGCTTTGTCAGTGGGGCTGAGAGGGTCCAGGACACAAGCTAAACGCTTTTTCCCCTGCCCGGCAGGCCATTTGAATCTGCGACGATAACTAGTGCGCAGAATGCCCACCACGAACAATCGGCGCCGCACCTGTGCGACTCGGAAGTTGGAGCTGTCCAAGACTTTCATCCAAACCACATATCCCAGTTTCTTCAGCGCAGCCCGCATTCCGTTCAAAACTGGACGAAAAGCTTTGTGGGTAATTCCCTTCACATTTTCGAAGAGTACTACTCGCGGGTGTTTTCTCTTGATATATTGAAAGGAACTCTTCATGGCCGCGGCGCGGGGATCTTTCAGGCCACGGCGTTTCCCTTGCACAGAAAAGGATTGGCATGGAGGAGTGAAAACATAGCAATCGCAGGCCGCCTCATCGTCAGGACTGCGGGTGGCCACATTGTCATGGAATCTGGCTGGCTTGTGCAAAGTAAGCAGAAGGTTCTTGCAGTCCGGGTCGATATCACTGCAGAATTGCAGTTGGGCTGGCACCTTCAAGCGCTGAAGAGCTATCCACGCACTGTCTAAGCCAGAAAAATCACTACCGAACAGCAACTTCCTAGGTGTACGCGCCGACATTGGGCCGAAGCAGCCCAAGGCCGAAAGCAGCACGTGAGGAATTGACTCCTAACCCTAGCTTGAGCCAAGCATGAAAACTACAACTTCGCGACCGCATCGCGTAAACGCCATGTCCTCGGCTAAGGAACGCGCATCGCTGCCCACATTGCGCCAACACTATTTTACCCACCCCGTTCAGCTCGCTTTGCAGCTGTAAAACCCAATGCCGATGCGCATCACCAGATTCAGTGATGTTTCAAATTTAAAAGCCACCGACGCACCGTGGTAAATCGACGTGTCGAAGTTGCTCGATCAGTTCGTCAACGCAGTAGGTATGCTTCAGTCCCTGCAAGGACGGGTCATCTTTCTCGTCAGAAGCAACCACCACATAGGCGACTCCGCGCTGGTACCTTGCCTGCGCGATGCCCAACTGATTCATCGCTTTCGAGTGCATGAGCCATCGATGTGTGGATCTGAGTGAAGTCCTCAAAAATTTCCAAAAAGCCGCGTTGCGTGTTGCGCAGCGATGGGAGACTATCAAAACCCTTTGCAAGTCGCATGCGCATTTAAGCTTCAAAGCTGCGCCATTTCCATCGCCAGTGAAACATGTGGGCGACATCTCGTACCATCCCAGCAACGCTGAAAGCAACCGCAGCCTTTTATCTGCAAGGCGACCTGGTCGATCGCAAACAATAGCAACGGCATCTTTCGGCGCTGTTGTTACTCGCAAGCCATGTCGGGCGATGGCAAGCTGCAAGTCAGCCAAGGCCGGAGCAGCCATAGCCGTAACAGCCATGTAGACACACCCGCCTCCCAGAAAAGCTAAAGCATCACTTGAGCAGCAGCCCATTTTTGCTTGCGTCCGCAACTTTTTCGTCACTCGGTCGGCTTCGTTCTTTTCAAGCTTCTGCGCACAGGCCACACGATCTGCTAGCAACTCCGGCGTAATTTCATCGTCCAGCAAAGACTTTTCTGCAAAGGCTTGAACTCTTCGGCATTTCATTTTCTTTCGCAAAAAAAGCTTCTCGGCGTCGTGTTTCTCCGTCCAAACAATGTCTAATTCTTGCGTATTCACCTCGGAATCTAAGGACTGGTTGGCGCCTGCCGAAGCAGCAGCTTTACGCCGTTTTCTGATAAACGCAGCCTCGCTTTTGCCATGAGCGCCATCTTCGTCCTGCAGTAGTTTTGTCACGCCTTTGTCGATTCTGTGGACATCATGGACGCGAGGTGCGCCATAACAGACAGACCAACACTTGCGAGCAAGCGGTAGAAGCGCGCGTTCATCGTAACAACGATTGTCCAGAGTGACTTTGACAGCAAGATCTTCCGTGCTCGCTTTTGCCTGATGCCGGCGGCTATGTACAGCCCAAGCTGCCTTGCTGAAGCCTTGCTCGACTCCGCTGGTGGAGCCACCAAAAACTAGGTAGTGAACAAGGGCTTGGCGCAGCACATCTACAGGGTGAGCGTCGCGCGCTCTCTTCCGGCTAGACAACTTGGCAATTATCGCCGCCCAAGCGGCCTGGTTGTCTCCAGCCTTCCTGGAGGTCTCCTTGAACTCCATTTGAGCCCGTGGGTGGACATCCTGAAATTGAGCTATGAGCAACTTCTCGTCCAGGCTGCAACTCCGAGCAATTCTGGAGAGGCATTCCTCAGTATTTGGGAGGCGACCACGTAGATCGAAGCAACCAAAAGCCTAGCAGGAGAAACCGCAATCAGCTAAAAACCTTCCCGAAAACACAGTTGATTAACATGTTCAAAGTCGAAATCGCCATGTCAACGAGCCTGCATCAGCTCCCAGCATGGGAATTCAGCTGCCAATGTAGCTTCTGCCAAGGCGACCCATGCTTGCATGCGCTTTAAGCATGACATTTGGGTTTGCTGTGGCACACCCGTGGCAGAGCCAATACAACAGGTGGCGCGCCCAACTTGGTATACGCAAGGCTCGGAAAGCATGTCCAGCATCGTCTTGGTGTACCCGAAGCGGTTGAAGCATTCGCCGTCGACAAACAGAGCACGAATTTGCTTGCGGTAAACGATAAGTTCTGCACTGATGCTCGCAGGGTCCAAGTCCTCCACATCCATTGATCTTGTCAGCTGCATACTGCAGTCTGCGGCGTCCGCAAGCATAGCCGCCTGGATGGCGTGTTCATCTGACAACCACAGCAGCCAAGCTTTGGCGTGCGTTGCCGCTTGGTCATTTCGAGCACGCATCAAATACAAACAGGTCTTCACACAAGCGTGCAGGTGCAAGCAGCTTCTGCCAAGCGGTTTCGAATACGATTCGAAACGGTGCTGGGCGGCTCGAAAATTGGTGACCGTAGCAGCCACACTCGCCGTCTCTTTGCAGTACTCGACAAAGATCCTCTTGATCTCAGGGCTGTGCTGAACCAGCCTTGCAACGGAGCCTTTACCCCCAGCCATGCGAGTCAGCGTCTCCTTCAAGAAGTCGTCGCATTGCCAAGGCCTGCTAGTGACCCGCCGAGACGCATGGGCTTTGTCCCGTAAGACAAACCGAAGATTGGGCGTAATCTTTTCAATCCGTGTGACAGTCGACCGCATGAGTTCCGAAGCCAAAACTTCATCTGCGGCGCTGTCTGTTGTGATTGTCGTCACTTTTGCCCGAAAATGCTCGTACAAGTCTTGTTTCAGGAAGCCGCCCCTCTTGGATCCAGGAGCGTTTGCAAAACGACTGCAGGCTCGCTGCATAATGTTTGTTGTTGCCGTTGTCAAGTTACGGCCGCCTGTCCCTGCAAAACGCTCTTGCCCTAAAAATCCGGAACGCACTTCCAAATTGGCAGACACTGCTCGGTAGCGAACTGCTACCCTGCCATTGCGTTCATCTCTGAACAATGAGATAGCCTCAGCTTCTTGGAAAAATTGTTGGTCCAATGACTTCATGGCTTCTGCCATGCACCAAGTCATTTGGGCACCCTTTCGGCCACAGCAAGTGGCCTGTCCTTTTCGGATATTTTGGAGAAGATTTTCAAACTCGGCTTCTGAAGGAGCGAACCTCTCTGATACGATGGTTGTTTTGCCAGCCAACGTTTGCGCCACAGCGGCTTGGTGATGCTTGTTGGCTGCATGGGTCTTGAAATTGCTGCGTTGGAGACCTGCCTCCGTTCTCACATTGAATGTGGCAAAGCTAGTGGCGTGCCCTGCTGCGTGGCAAGCTTGGCAACCCACACCCCAAGGTTTGCCTTGCACTTGCAGCCACGAGCCTTGGCCAGGATCGCTTGGAACTAAAAGAAATTCGTTCTGCCATTTCACACCTAAGCGATCCCACTTTGCTTGAGCCCTCTCGACAACTTCAACGTCGTCGCCTGTCATTAGGCCGAAGCAGCCCTGTGGCCGTAGCAGCCACGTTCATCGCTGTGATGGCCCCGCACTGCAAACTTGAACCAGAAACGAGATTTGCAAATATCTTTGTCTTGCATGAAAATATCTTTACCCCCTCTTAAAACTGGCATGTACGCTTTCTAATCTGGTTGTGATGGCTCTTCTGACATGGCGCTGTTCTGTGTCAACATATGTCTTATCACAAGTTTTCTGTGTGGTCAGAGAAGACTGTCCCATTAATTGTTTTGGTGAAACACATGCGACAATCGCAATGGCTTCAGTGTTTTGAAATAGCAGCCAGGATTTTGTTGAGTAATCACCAGAACGAGAATGCAAAATAGAGTTAATGAACATAGCACATACAATGGGCAGAAACCTTCAACCTGATTTCCTTCACACTGAAAAAATTACAAAAAATTAGACTAAGCACTTCTAAGGATTGCCCAGCACGTGCATCGCGTGTTGGTACATCGATCACAAAGTCACAACATCACCCGAGACACACGGTTGAATGAGATCAGGAAGGACAAGGTATTGCCCGATGGACGCACATGTTGGAGAGTATATTTGGACAACTATGACCTCCTGGAGAAGTTCCCTCCACAACTGTTGGGTGAATGCACGGGGGAGTTGGCCCCTGAGGTGAAGGCCCTTCGGCAGGAATACAAGGCCTGGGGGCTACCACGACATCCGGGAAAGGCCGTCAGCCGTCAAGCCATAGCGGAAGTGCAGGGCGCGGTCGTGGATGGAGTTCGGGGTCTAGCATACCCTAAGGGGCAGAAACTGTCCAAGTATGTCACCATGGCTTTCAAGCTGATGCAGGAGACGCGAGCTACCCAACGACAGATGCAGGTTGTGTGTGGCGGCCTTGTATATTTCTCGACCTTCCGCCGACAGTTATTGGAAGGTCTCAATCACTGCTGGAGGTTCATTGAGGGATTCAACCATGCAGGTCGTCACTCGCTGCCGATACCCCGTCAGGTGAAGCTGGAGATCTACCGCTTCCTGTGCCTCATCCCTCTGTGCCGCCTGAATTTCCGATTACCGTTGAACCCTACGGTGACTTGTTCGGACGCATCGGAACACGGAGGCGGGGTGTGCGTAGCAACCAGCCTGACTACGTTTGGGAAACAAGTTGCAATCGGGGATAAGCCCTGGGAGATGCAGGAGGCTCGTGGAGGCAGAGTCCTCAGCATTGGGTTATTTGATGGCATTGGATGCTTGCGGACGGCTTTAGACCTATTGGGATGCGAGGTGTCGGGGCACGTGTCTATTGAGAAAGACCCTGCCGCTCGACGAGTGGTGGAGCATCACTTTCCAGGGACCCTTCATTACCCTGACATTGCGGAGGTGTCCGAGAAGGATGTTGTTCGCTGGTCATTGACGTATGGGCAGGTAGAAATGGTTCTAATCGGGGCTGGACCTCCCTGCCAAGGAGTGTCTGGATTGAACAGCCAGAGGAAGGGAGCCCTGCGCGATGAGCGATCATCGCTATTCGTCCACGTCCAGCGCATAGGAAACCTGGTTCAGAAACTTTTTCCTTGGGCCCAGACGCACATTCTCATGGAAAGCGTAGCCTCAATGGATGACAAGGACAAGGAGGTTATGTCAGAGAGCTTCGGGGACAGTCCCTGGCATTGCGACGCCGGAAGTATGACATGGTGCAATCGACCTCGACTGTATTGGGTGACATGGGCCATTGAGGGTTCGGGGCCGGAGGTGACCATTCAAGGACGACAGTTGGTATTGAGCAGTGACCGAGGATGGGAGCAGTCGGTGGAAGCAGGTTGGTCAAAGGTCGACCCCACTCAATCTTTCCCTACTTTCACGACGTCACGGCCGCGGAATTCACGGGGGCATCGCCCTGCGGGCCTCAGTGCCTGTGATGAGGATACAGTGAAGCGGTGGGAGAGTGACAAACACCGCTTCCCCCCGTACCAGTATTTGCCTCGCCACTGCCTGCAAAATCGTAGAGGTGACTACCGCTTGCCCAGCATCTCGGAAAGAGAATACATGATGGGGCTGCCAGTAGGGTACACTCAAATGTGCTTTCCTAAGTCGCAGCGCAAGAAGGAAGAGTACCTGGACAAGAGACTCAGCCTCATCGGGAATGGGTGGTCAGTACCTGTCGTAGCATGGTTGATCGGGCAGCTGTTGGGGCCACGGGGCTTCTGCCCTGCTTTGACACCGGGCCAGGTATTGGAGAGGTTAGATGTTGAAGGTAATCCTTATATCCAATCAAGGCTGATGCGCCCACCATTACGCCCAAACCTCACGTCTGACACCACCTCCGAGCTGCAGTTGGTACAGCAGTTAGGCCGGCTCGTTTCTACAAAAGGGTCGGACATTATGTTGACTAGTACACCAGATGAGATTCAGGGACATCAGCGTCTTCGACACACAGTCAACCCAAAGATGTGGAGGTGGAAGGTCGTATCCGGGTGGAAGTGGTTAGGTCGGGGAGAACATATAAATTCCCTGGAGATGCGTGCAAATTTGGCTTGTCTACGATGGCGCCTTGAACATCTACAGACTCATGACTGCCGACTCTTGCACTTGACAGACTCCTTAGTCTGCTTGCATAGCATGACCCGGGGACGGACATCAAGCCGACGCTTAAGGAGAACTCTTTGCCGAATCAACTCGCTCTTGCTGGCGCACAACGTGGTTGGCCTATGGGGGTACGTGAGTACCGACCTGAACCCGGCGGATCGTCCGTCGCGGTGGGCGGTACAGACCAAGTTTCGCCATGCCAAAAGCCGTTCTTGAGGGAGGAACACAAGCTAGCAGAGCGAGAGAAAGGCAAAAGCTCGGTACCCTTCGTCAGTTGACCGTCCAACCTTCCACCCGACTCCGTTATGAGAAAGCCCTGAACCGCTTCCTGTCGTTTTTAAAGGCCGAAGGCCTACAGCTGCCTAGCAAGCGCGACCAATTGGACCCTTTGGTCATGGAGTACGTGGAGCATCTATGGTTCACGGGGGAGGGGCGTGGCTTGGCCGCCGACACCCTGGCGTCCTTACAGGACCATGATGCCAAGATCCGTGGCCATCTGCCCGGTGCATGGAAGTTGGTCAAGACATGGGTCACTCATGAGTTGCCCAACCGGGCACCACCGGTACCCGAGGTTGTGTTGCATAGCATGGTAGGGTGGAGTCTTTACCACGGACACGTTGCATTCGCAACCAGTTTGCTGATGTGCTTTTACGGCATTCTTCGTACTGGGGAACTGTTTGATGTGGTTCGCAACAAGGTGGACGTTTCTACCAAACTGCGTACAGCTGTTGTTGCTTTAGGCCTCACCAAGGCAGGTAAGCGTGCAGGAGTCCAGGAGAGTGTGTCGATAGGGCATGACACAGCATTCCGTTTTGTGCAACACTGGGTGAATCTAGCATCACCCAACCAGAAATTGTGCCCTGGAGCCGCCCGATGGCGCAAATTGTTTAAATCCTGCATCGAATGCCTCCACCTAGAACCCCTGGAACTTCGCCCCTACTCGCTGAGAAGAGGGGGGGCAACGTGGTGGTTTTGCCAACATGGCAATTTGGACCGGGTAATGGTCCTTGGTAGGTGGCAAGCACAGAAGACTGCTCGTTTATACCTAAACGAATCCAGAGCCATCCTGGCTGAAATGAAGTTGGACTCACTTGAACGGTTTTTGGCACCCTTTCGAACGTTTTTTGCGAATTCGGATCCTCGAAAATTTCAAACACTTGAGCCGTTGCAAAGCAACAGGCCGGCCTCTCTCAAAAGAGGCCTGGGGGGAAGTGGAAGAAGACACCCCTCCAAAAAACCAGCAAAGAGGTCTGAAAAAGTGCTGGTTGTCCCTTGGGGCCTGACCAGGGTCAGGGGTCTGGCCCGCCTGGTCAGGGGGGGACGAGTATCTGGGAGCGCCCCCTTCCGCGGTAGTGGACCAGGAAGGGGGGGGGATACTCCACTCGATTTTTCATTGGGGGATTCACTTTTTTGTTCCCAACTTTCTTAATTCTGTGACAATCTTGCTGCAGAGCGAACAGAAAAGAAGGTGTGTTCTACTCTTTGATCCCCCGCCCCCGGGGTTAAAGAGTAGGCCACCGTATATGTCTGTTCCTTAGTGTTTTGGCTTACCCTCCTCTCCCCCCCCTTAAATCGAGTGTGGGGAAGAAGACACCCCTCCAAAAAACCAGCAAAGAGGTCTGAAAAAGTGCTGGTTGTCCCTTGGGGCCTGACCAGGGTCAGGGGTCTGGCCCGCCTGGTCAGGGGGGGACGAGTATCTGGGAACGCCCCCTTCCGCGGTAGTGGACCAGGAAGGGGGGGGATACTCCACTCGATTTTTCATTGGGGGATTCACTTTTTTGTTCCCAACTTTCTTAATTCTGTGACAATCTTGCTGCAGAGCGAACAGAAAAGAAGGTGTGTTCTACTCTTTACATATATATTATAACAGAAAATATCCTAAATCAAACCTAACCTTTACAAATATCAAAACATTCAAAACAAAGATAATCATACAAAGAAATAAATCAATATTTCAGAAGATTTATAAACTATAACGGGTTATAAACCCAAATTAACAATTAACAAAATAATATATCCTACGTAGAAATATAACCCTAATTAAGACCTTCAAAAGTTAAAATAATTCCAATATTATATTCATATCAATAAATAATCATTTCCAACAACTACCATTACGCCAATTATTTTCTTCAACGATAATATTTTTGAACTAGGGTCGGCCCGCTGTTTCCAACAGCGAAAAAATACGATCCTCAAAAATCGAAACCGATAGATCAACAAAGGAACAAATTGAGAAACCGACAAACCACGGACCTTTTTTTCCTTCTTGGCCGTCAGTAGGGAGCATGGGTCTGGCTTCCATTCATCGCATCAACGATTTTCATGCAATAATAGAGCACATTCTCTGTGACCAGCAACGACAGCAGCACTCGCTGCCGCCCGGTTCTGTTGCAGATCTCATCGATTATTTTCTGCAAATTCCTTGTCACCTGCAGCAGCCTTTGTGACGGATGGCGAGCAGGACACAGGTCAATGCCACAGATCGCAGAGCGTTGCGCCAGAATTGGCAGAAAGCGCGGATAGCCACCCACTGCAGGTAGTCGAGGCACTGGGCTATAGATTTTCAAGAATTGATCTCGAGTGCCAAAGCCGCCATCCACCCAAATTTCGCCGATCCTGTCCAGCAATACCTTCATATTGAGGCCCTGATCCGGAAACAAATACATGGGCTTTGCTGCAGTTGCTTTTGACCATTTTGTCAAATTTTCCCGGCTGATCCGTTGCCACGCAGCCCGAGTTCCTGAAAAGCCCAAAGCGTTGAAGGGACGCCAGCCGTTGTGATTGGCCGCTTTCCAAGCCACGGATTATTCAGCGAGGTTGAGGACCGATTCACCGATGCTCTGCAATACGGCCCGCGCGTCGGCTGATATCCTACCGTTGAAATCTCTGCTCTGAAGGACCGAAGTCACCGTCGTCACCATCAGGCTCGTGTGCAATGTCTGGCATCTCATCTGCTGGCTGAGATGCTCTGCGTGCGGATTCCGAGGAACACTTGCCGTCTGTCCCCACACCATGTCCGAGTCGATCGTGGCCAGATATGCGACGGCACCAAGCCGGTATTTTCCACCCCGATGTGTCATGTAAGCGCTCGCGCAGCAAGCGACAGGTGCCACGGCCACCCGTAAGCGCCGCATATGCACAAGCCAGTGTCAGCATAGAACCGCACAATTCGACGGTCTCCCAATGATGATCGTGAATCAAAATTCTGGAGGTCAAAGTCAGTAGTGCAATGGCAATATACCGCGCGCGATGCGAGTGCGACCCGCCAAATTGCCTGCAGCCAGCCAAGGGCGGGCACGGCAGCAGGGGTGACAGGACGCCCAGACATTATTCCAAACCAACACAAATCCATTCAGAATCCAGCCCAAATCCATCCAAAATTGCGCTAAGCTCGGTCGCTTGAATTACACTAAGCTCGGTCCCTTGTTCGAGAGGTCTGAGGCGCCATGCCGATAGCACATTCCTGAATATAGTGTAGAAATACCATACAGATTATATGTAATATTTTAGCATATATTTGATAAGTTATTGGATCGTATGTTTTCAGCTGGGCCCTCCTGCAAGGGCAAGGTAGCAATCTCCTTGACCTTTTGCTTCGCCTTCTAACCTGGCCGCAAAACTCGTAGACAAACCCACGATAAAAACCAGGAAGGAAAATAACGAACAATGCAAACGATCGGTAGAAAAAACTTCGTTTTTCCAGACCATGAGAACCGAAAATGTTTGCATTACTTTGGGAATTTTGGAAAACAAAATTGATATCGCGAATATACATCGTACCTAGCATTATTTCGGTTATTTATGACTTCAAGATTGTGACGTCCGGAAGCAGTTACGCCTCTGCCGGGCCACACGCAAATGGCAAAATGGCTGTAACAACAAGACTGCTATAGTAAAGAATTAAAAATCGAATTAATTAGGTTACCATCAATTTTGAGAAAATCCAATTCATATTTGCAAAGAAATTTATTTCTTTTCATAATGTTTCTGTGCAAAAAGCTGTTTCCAATTTCCAATTCATAATGCTTGCAAAAAATACCATATAATCTGTTAATGCTAGTTTACACGAAATTGTTTCGCATTTGCCAATAATGAATGCCAAGATCTTCTATTAAAATTACATACGATAATTCGAATAGAAGATCATTCAGAACATAAATAATATATATATATATCAAAAGATAAAAATCGAAAATAAATCAATGCAATATTGCCAAACAAATGCAAAATCTTTCAAAACATCAAATATGTTAATATTTTATCAATGCAATAATGCCATATAAATATATTCTATCACACCATCAAACACAAATATTGGATTTGCGACGCACTCACGCGTATAAGCATTAAAAATAGAAATATTAAGGTATATTCCCTTATGCACGAGTCCGAATATTATAGTAGAAAATATTAACGCATACGTCCAAGAAATGCTCATAAGCACGTAAAAATAAAATAAAAAATATAAATCTAAGGTCGTTCGCTACGAACAAATTCAAAATAAATCAAAAAGAAATTACTATATCGATATAACATTTTATATAAAATTATTAATCGATAATCCATAATCCTTAACACAACATAATATCATTTTAATAATATTAATCTTTCATAATAAAAAAATTAATCCTTCAAATTAATTCCTTCTATTCATTATAAAATACGAATCTACGAATATTTAATAAAATTCAATCGTATTTTTAAAATACAAAATCCGAAATTAAAATTTTCAAAAAATAAATCAAATAATATATAAATTATTTAAATATACAAAACAAACAAATATTAATAATTACGATTATTTTTAAAATCTAAACAAAAATATTTCATCAAACACCGATTATATTAATAATTTAATCCAGAAAAAATACATAAATTATATTCAAAATTTCGATTATTATATTTTTCTAATTAAAAAGGCTTTTTAAATATATATTCGGGATTATTGCCAAAGATAATGACGGGAATGGAATTCCTAAACATAATTACGCAAATAATCTATCCCCGCATTACCTATATAATAAAAAAATAAATATTATACAAATACATTTTTATAAATTCTAATTAATACAAAACGAAATGCAAAAATCCAGATAAATAGAATTTTATATTTCCAACAATCATAAATTCAAAAAAGCATAAAAAAACGAGGCTAAGGCCGGAATTACAAGAATTAAAAGACCATCTACCAATTGCACAGTAGTATATAATAAATCATAATAATGGTACCAATGCAAATTTAAAGGCAACAAATAACAACTATCCAATATGTTTAAACATGTTTGAACATCCAATTTGTTCAAAAATAATTGCACAAAATTATTTTCGACGGCGCCGGATCGTGCAAACTAAACGGCTCAAATGTGCCAGGCTTTCTGAAGAAATATCAAATAAACAAAATCGATCTATGAATTACCAATTTTGTTTGGTTAAGGCAAGCGCGTGTCAGTCGATTATCTAGTCAAATTGGCTTCGGCATTTGCTATTTTGCAAGGCCTGCCAAATATAAAAAGCCCTGTCATATTAGATGTTCAAACACATCCACACTGTACAAGTGGACCCAAATATAGGGCACAACGGCAGCTCCTCAATCACAAAGAGTCACGGATTAGATGTCCTTGCGGACGCATTTGAATTCCTCTCCTCCACCGTGGTGGCAGAGCACAGTTTGGAGCGCGTTCGAAGCCCACAAAAGTGTAGTGGCATATTGTAGCCTTGCTTCAGCCTGCCCTGTGCATCAAATTATGCCCAGTCAAAAGTTTTATCACTGAGCTGGAGAGTCTGATTGTAGCGATTCACCAATGCTCCCATCGCTGCGATGAGCAAACATTCTTGAATCCCTGTCCGCATGTCCAAGTGAGACATGTGTCCCCATTCACACCAATATCCCCGGAGCGAACTCGCTCTCCAATCGGCGAGCAGAACTCTTCATGTGGACTGTGCAGCCTGGCTTTGAATATGTACCGTGCAAATTGCCTTTCAAGTAGCAAAAATCCTCAAAGTAGGAGAAGCCTTGGCATTCAGGGATTGCGGTGCAGGCACTGCAGCATTCATTTGCTTCTGCAGCATACACCGGTGGCTTCACCAGGATTCCTGCCAAGTCCTTGTCCTTCTCACTTGCAAAACCGGAGCACTGCTTTGGGTCATCTGGCTTCTTCCGAACCATTGTTGTACACCATGGTTTAGAAAAGGTCCCCTTCAGATCCGCCTTCATGTAGCACACGCCCTTGTAGAATGAGAAGCCCTCACATCCAGCTGTCGCATCACACATGCCTCAGGTGGCTATGGCTTTCTCTTATTCCGATACCAATGATGGCATTTACTGGTAGATATATACTATATAATATACATACATACACACATGATTTACACATTGTATTAACCAATATTTGATATTTCGGCTGTCTGTGAATGTATAAAATGCAGCTTGAATATCCGTGGACCATCTGATCAATTGGGATGGCCTATTTCTGCCTGGGAGTTCAAAGACTTGAACATGGGCGGGAAAAAGTTGAAACTGTAAAATAAAGAATGCCTCAAGACCTGGTCTGACTCGCGGGCTGTTCAGTCTTTCTTTTTGCACAATTTCGATCTATATCCGTCTGCCGTCTGCCGTCGTCACCAGACGGGTCACCGATGCATGCGTCAATCTTCGGCGCTGGCACTGCAGCCAGCATATCGCCGGCAAGGTCTTTGTTGGCCTGGACAGAAGGCAAAACACCAAAGCTCAGTCAGCTTCAGACTTTGATATCTTGAAGCAACAGTATTCAAACTTCAAGACCTCAGTCACTGAAGCTCGTGCAAATAAATGCTCGTGCAACCCCTGTCAAAACCATTCAAAACTAGATTGAGAGCTCAAAAACCAGCTGGCCAACTTCTGTGACACACACACACACATCTGTTCATTGACGTGTGTCACTGTCTATGTGGGGAATTCAACTGTTCTATCAGCACAGCTCTATCGGCACCTTCCGAATGTATTCACTGGAGGCAGGAGGCGCTGGTGCCCAAGCAGGTGATGGAGTCCTCGCCGTGAACATGACAAAATGTCGTGCATCTTGTGAACATCGTGGAATGTATCCTTTCTTGTTGTTGAGGATAGAGGTATGTAACCGGTATGTATGTCAAACTCAGCTCAACACAACACCAACCTTCACTCTCTTTGCCTGTTCGACTTCATATCTCGGCCAGCCTCGTTGTCGTCCTTGCTGGTTCAGTGGTAGAAGGCGGTGCTTTGGACGTCTGCTCAATGGCAGAACTTGTTGAGGGTTTTGGCGTCGAAACCTCTGTTGTCACGTCTGCAGAGGTGGTTGTCGCCTGTGATGTTTCTCCAGTGGTCGCGGTAGAGCTATCCTCACTTGAGTTGAAAAAACCATTCTCAAAATCATTATCCTAGGTTGAGATCACAGCAATTCCAAGCGGCGGCAATCATGTACACAACATGCGCTCATGTATATGGTTGTCCTTTTAACTGCTGAATTCTTATTTACAGAGTCCAACTGCTTCAAGTGTGAAGCTGAAAGTAGCCGTCTTCTTGATTTTTGCACCCAGAAACAAGTTGTCAAGATATGGTTAATGGCTTTCCTATCTTTTTTGTGTATACAAAGACCCCGCCCCCACCCCAGCAGCTGCACCCCAACAGCTGCACCCCAGCAGCTGCCCTTCTTGTTTTTTCAATTTTCTTCACTCGTGCGTCTGTGTGTATATTTGCAATAGTGGGAGTAGTAGGCCCTGCTCAGCACTTGGACAAGTGGTCAAAGTTGCAAAGGGGTCTAGCGCGGATCTAGCGCGGGTCTAGCGCGCTTTCCTGCCAGTGCATGAGGCCACCAAACGTCTGTGATCAAGAACTCGCTTTGTCTTATCTCAAACAGGCGCTGCCTTTCAAACAGTAGCTGCCTTTGTCGGCGCTTTGCTGCCTTTCAAACAGTTGCTGCTCTTGGGTCTGTGCGGGTGTGTGTGTGTGTGTCTATACATGTATGTGACCAATACATGTATGTGTTGTTTGTTGATCTTGTCTAAGTTACCTAAGTACTTGATCCTAGCGCCAAACCTAGCGCGAACCTAGCGCAACCCTGCGTTTTGCTAGCGCGACGAGGTAACATACCCACTTTAAACACCAGAATACCAAGCGGTGGCCAAGCGATTTCTGAACCTCTGGGAACCTTCCTTACTTAATACATATTAATTACCGGGCTTTTTTTTCGACTCACTTGAAGACGGAGTGGCCACAGCTGCCGTTGAACTTGTGGACCCAGTCGTTGTCAAAGTTGTGCTTTCATCAGGAAGATTTGGCACCGCTTTGGTACATCCGCATGATCTGGCACAGTGTCGCTCCATGTATTGCCTGGTAGTTTTGCATTCTCCCATTTCAGCCCAGGTGCTGCAAAACTTGTGATCATCAACGCATGGTGATGCGAAGACGATGGAGATCTGCAAAAGCAACGCCACCCAAAACATTTCGTTGGGCATCTTTGCCAAGTCTCTTCTACTCGTCCACGGTTCGAGCCAAATGCTGATGCATATACTTTCTACAGTACTCGATGTTTAAAACTGCTCTGAACTGGCACTTGACCCAGCGACATTCGTGCGGAGTTGCACTTCCCGAAGCACATCCGTTCTTTGTCTTTCCTCTTTCTCAATCCAATGCGTCAACTTCAACAAATGTAAAACGTTGCTGGAGCTCACTCGGTAGGTCAGACACGTTCTTTATGAAGACCTGCTCAAATGATCAATTCAACTGGCACCAGCCAGTGCCAGCAACTGGTCTCAAGTTGCCACAAGATGCCACAAGCAACAAAGTGAGATTTGCGTTGTTTGCATTGGCGCAGCAAATACATGCATAGCTACTTGAATTGATGAAACTTAATCCATCTGACTCCTTTATCCAATCATACGCCCAAGATGTCGTGATCAACTGCGACAATGGAAAATAATGGAAAAGGAACAGCAGTGTTGGTTTCATCAAGGCCTTTGAAGACCTCCCCAGGTCATAGCCTTCACGCTTGCCTGGGATCTCGGAGCCAAACAACAGAACTAAGCAAATACAGTACTTCGGTACTTCAAAGGGACGGTGTGCATTATTATCTGAATCTCCTCCAAAAGCATCCTGAACATCTGTGCGTGTTTTTTTGCAATTTGAAGCAGCCACTGGTCCAATTCAAGCGGATTCATACCAAGGGGCTAGGCGGAAGGTCATCTAGAGAAGCATTCTGAAATCCTCTTTCAACAAACCATTGCCTTGGATCCAAGCAAGAGAAATCATCCTTCATGCCAGACTCACTGGTGGTACATGAAAATGTTGTTTTCATCTGAGTTGAGCTTGCATCGTCTGTGTGGTCAGGAGAAATAGCTGCCTCCTCAGCCAATGTGCCAAACCACAAGACTCTTTTGGCCACTCGATGTTGTTGTGTTTCCTTGGAATCACACACACCTAAAAGGGTCGCAACCCGCTCGATGTAAGAAAGAAGCACAGCACCGTGTCCTTTGCAATACCAGGACACAGGAGATTGATGCAAATAAGATGTCTCACACTCAAGAATCGAAACACATCTGGGTTTAACACCTTTGCCACGGCATAGGGGAGAAACAACAAAGCATCCGAGCCTACAAAGACATTGACTTACAACTGCCATGTTGTCATCCGTTTGGCAACAGCGTGAACCACCATCTCTTCGACGCCGTTGCTAATGCATGCTTGCTTTTCTCAAAACATCAAACCGTTTTCCTCCGGTTGTCAAGTGGAACAAGCCTCCGTGTGGGCCATGGAATCTAAGGTCCAAACTCTGCCTTCCCCGGTGCATCTTCAAATCGCTCGAGGCTGGCACAACCGACAAATTTGTCCTCAGAGAAGTGCTTGACACTCCAATTCTTTGAGAACAAAGGGACGGCCCTCCTGCATCCATTAATATCCATTAAAAACGACGCTTGCCATGTTCCTGGCGCTTTTGCTTTCAAAGAGGCTGTGTCGAGCCAAAATTGCAGTCTATCCGAGTCTATCCGTCATGAATGTTGAAACTATGGATGGTCTTCGGGTTAAAGTAAAAGTGAATCTTAGTCATGGCGAGACTGTCCAAGCCGCACGCGTTCATTTTCCTTGCAAGGATGTCTCTCTCTGCGAGGGAAGAGAGCTAGTCATAGCCAAAACCCTCTGAAACCACAGACTCTGCAATCATTGCCTTCAATGTGGCAGGATCCTTGCAACAAGCTCTGGGAATGCGTAATTCATTGAAGCAGGTTTTGCCTACCAGCGGCACGCACTTTCCACCTGTGTAGCCAGGGTTAACACATGTGAATTCCACTGTGTCTTTCTTCCAGCCCTCAACAGGTGGCTTAAATGAGCCCGTGAAGAATCGTAGAAGCTTGTTCAATTGCCGCTTCACAGGAGGCAAGTCCTGACCCTGCTTCTGCAAGTCGTGCAAGACTTCAATGATCACAGCCTCCTCCTCGCTGCTGCAGGTCCACGAAACTGCCTTCAGCATTTCATCGACATTAACCTCTGAGCTGCCTTCTATGAGATGAGACAGTTTTTGCCACTTCCCATCCAGAAGCTTCCAGAGTCCAGAGGTGCTGGGAATCACTTCCCGAAAGCCCTGCACGATGTACTTCACCGGCTCTTCAAAAGCCTTCCAAGACTGTTCACATCGGCGTTCTGTGAAGTCTCGCGCTGCGCTGAAGGGAACGGTGTCGTCTGCTTTGGCACCATCTGGTGCAAGAGAGCCCCATGCCAGGTAGAGAGCATTCCACATCATTTCATCCCGGAAGATTGGCTTGTAGCAGCTGGCCTTTGAAGGGCGTGAGTTGTGTCAGTACCAGCATTTCCTGTACTGTATAACCATAGCGTTCTGATGAAATTGTCAATCGCTGGTAACAGATCATACCCAAGATTAGGTGAGTGTTGCGCAACTTCGGTTATACTGGTAGGGGTGGGGAGTGAACTTGTCGTCGTTTCAGCTTTGCGTCGCACCAAACCGTTCAAATTCAGCTGTGCTAGCAAATAAGGATTGATTCAGCAGGTATGCTTCTCGGGAAGGGATTGGAAGCGAGCACGTCAAAGCACAAGAGTGTGAGATGTTGTTGAAGAAGTCCTGTATTGTCAATTTAGTAGGGAGTATCGATTGCAATGGTTCTGAAAGAGGTGTAATAGTTAAATCCATTCAGATCTGACAGTAGGGGTGTTTGGCTTAAAGAAGAACACCAAACACATCCAAAACTGTGTGCTTTGAAACTGGCCTGGGTGTACTTGCCTGTGTGGTCTTTCACTTCATCGCAGCTCAGCCATCCGTAGCTTTGCAGCTCTTGCGGGCTACGTCGCCTCCATATGGCCGCCAGCTTCTCACAGGCAGGGATGGTGTCCTCCTCGCTGTAGAAAGAAGGGGTTTGGGGCGTGACCACATAGCCGGCCACCAAGCTCTGGTAAATGACTCTGTGGAGACCCATTGGTGCGAAACCCAGGTCCGTGACGATGTGAGCCCGAGCCAGCCACTTCCCCAAAAATTGGAAACGCATGCGGGCAGCATAAGGCAGCTTCTCTTTTTCACCGAGAACCCGTTCATATGCCAAATCGTAAGCATCATATGCAAATTTTAACATGGATCCAATTCTCCCAGTCTGTTCTGATGTTTCGACCTCTTCCACACTAATGGGCACCAGCTCTCCCGATGGCAAGGCTTTCAGCAAGTATTGTGGCGTGCCCTCATCTCCGCACTTGCCACTGCTGACACACTGCAAGCCTGTCTTATCTGAGTGACCAGCTGGCAGCACGATGGACTGCAGGACAAGCGAGAGCCACTCTTTGCGCAACCCGAAACTATCCACTCCCTTCTCGTTGGTGAAGTTCACAGTGAAGAACAAGCCGGTCCAGTTCGCACCCCATGCTCTTGGATCTTCATATTCAAAGGCGTTTCGAGTTTGTTCGAAGATGGTGGTGTTAGAGTTCCGGTGGAGGTTCACCTGGCGAAGGTGGTAGCATCCTTCCTTCCTGGAAGGCCTACTGAAGAACCTACATACCAGTTTGCCTACAGTATGACAGTGAGACAGCCTGAAGATTACATAGCGACCGTGGAAGACTACAAACAGGTTCCTTTTGAGAAGTGTGGTTCCAGGTTTGGCTGCGAAACCATGCAGTTCATACATCCAAATCGCTGTATAATCTATATACGCCCAAACTGCTGTAGCCTTCGCTCGGGTTTGGCCCTCATGTTTCAGCGCATTGTGCTTCTGCTGGTGGTGGTGGTGGTTGAGGTGTGGAGTCATGTGGCCTTCCACGCTGCTTCCACAAAGTTCCCACGCACAGGGGTTTGATCTCGCAGACGTGGCTTTTAACATTTTCTGTGCCACGCCTGAAATCGCATATTGGGGTTTCCTTGTCTTCCGCGTCGCTTCCGCAAACCTTCCACGACTGCAGCTGCGAGACTGCACGCTAACCGGACGCGAAGACTATATATATATATATATCTGGCATGCAGCCTTTGTTTGAAAACACCAATTACTAGAAGCCTCCAAGCACGACGACTACGCCATCATATGCAATCCTTTTTCAGGATACACTTCGATTCTGTATTCGCCTTTTCATTTCCAAAGAACTCGGCTTGCCTTATGCATGAAAAGCTTCTTCAAATCCAAGGTCGGCATCCACACTGTAGGTGGCTTGAATGACTTCACCGCTTCCTTCCGCATCTCCTCTTCCTCAGGAGCTCCCAGCTCCGTCTTGGCGACCCGTTGGTCTGAGACAGCCACTTTCTGCACACGGTGTCCGGAGGCACCATGTAGTGCCACATATGCGATCATCCAAAGCAGCCGAAGGACAGCCATGACCACGCAATGACGCACAAACAAATGCAGTATATCTGTCAAACATGAAAAAATCAAGATTGAGCCAGGCTTTGGCGGTTTGTGAAGTGCTTCTTGCATATTCTTCACACTACAAAACATCGCGAGTTTGCCTGGATTGCTTGCTCTAGAGTCTAATTACAGTGTCTGATGCATCGACCTCCCACGAATGCACAATCAGGGGACAAGCCCCTGCTTCGCCAACATTGCCAAAATGCTCCCGGACCACGTCAACTCACACATTTCATCCAAGCATCATCACGCTTCCAAACAAACATCTCTTGATTGTTGCAAGCCTTAGGTTGAAGTGTCGGGAAAAATGAAGGCACATGTAGCATTAGCCAGCTGCCTAGATGCATGACCCTGGGCTGCTTATTAAGAAAGCCTTCGCACACATGCAGAAGTGGAAATATTAAATGCTAGCGACACACCTCTGCACAAGTTGACAGCTCTTCCTGGGGTGCTCACGCGCTCGACCTGGAGGAGAAACAAAGAAACGTGCAGCAAGAATCGCGATTGGACTCATGCTCTTTCAAACCACACTAACTGTTCAATCCCAGTGCAGAATGCATCAATTTGTGGGAAGTACATGACAGTAAAGCAGTGGAATAGTGTTATAAGTTATAAGATGTTATAAGTTTATAAGCCACATTCCAACAGTGCCTCGTAGGTGCCCCGCCGCTTTAGCAAGCCGCGCCTCAGTGCATCTTGGCATTTACTGCAGCACATCTTCCAAGAATATATGATGTCTTGACAGAGTATTGCTGTCTTGCATTATACATGGATCCAGGCTTTACAAGGGGCTCGATGAGATCCAAAATGCCTGAGACATCTCCGGAACCAGCCATCCTGAAACAAAGGGTTGAAATGGCTGAAACTACCTCCAAAGCTCTCTGCTCAATGAAAGCTCTTGTCCAAGCCAAAGACTGGTTACATCTGTTTCATACAATGTGCGTGGGGAGCTTTGCTTGGAGGGCGACACCAACTAGCAGAACTAGCAGCTTAGCAATGCCTGATGCCATCGTACAAATCCAGGGAGATCATGGTCCCACTCCCATCAGTGGTATAAAGCTCCTGCTAGCAACTCAAAGAAGTCATTCATTGCAACGCTTTTGTTGATTTTTAAAGCAATGCAAGCTCTAGGACTCTAGAAACCGTATATTTTGAAGAAACTTTCTCCGGCCCTTGGGTAAAAGATATATCGTAAAGGCTTCCTTGAAGATCTTTGAAGAACCCTTTCTGATGACGCCGGTGCTGACCTGGAGCCTACTCCCCAGTCCACTGGTGTAGCAGGTGCAGAAAATATCGCCCCCGTGCCTGCAAGAGAGCTCCGCGCTGAGGATCAATCAAATGGCCTCGTCGAGTCCCACTGCGCAATGCTTGGATCAACCTCGAGACTCACGTGATCATAAGATACACCGGACCATGGATTGACATCAAGTGATCAATCAAAGCTGATAGACCTTAGACCAAGGTCAGTGATCACATCCAAAAGGACCCGAAGGTCCGGCATCCGCTGGCTGTCTCCAGCAGCTCTCCGAGCTGCTGGCCACTGTAAATACTTCACAACTTCTTTGGACTCGTCCTTGGTTCTTCAGTGCGCTTGATTTTCCCGCGACAAAACCCAAACATTGCTCATGCTAGTTGACAGCGCAAAAAGGCAATGGGCTCGGTACGGCTCATTATCAAACAACGCATCAAGCCGAGCATTCAAATTATCGCGCGTACCTTGTCCATGAAGGTACTGCTGGTTTTCCTTGGTAGAAAGCTCTTCCTCACGTTCCTTTCACATCTGAGTATCAATCACAATAAACACCAAAACACACCATTTGAAACGCATCTTGCTAATTGAACAAATGCTGAGGTTCCAACGCATGCTCAAGGAGTCTACTGGCCTCTCCAAGCTGCATAGTCGGAATGGCCTTGCAGGAAAGCCGTTTCACAGCTCCATATTTTGGACAACAAACATGACGAGGTACGTTGCCATGGGCCGTGTCCACGATCCGTTGACCTCAGAGGTTGTCAAGTTGTCAAGCTACTTTTTCATACTTTTTCAATATTCTTGATTTGAGCCATAGGCCTCTAGTGAAGAATATGAGCTTGGCAGCTTTCAACTGTTCTGCCACCTCAGCTGTTGGATCTGGACTTGAGAAACCAATAAATCATCCCAGACTTGTGAGCGTAATGGTTGCGAAGTCTTTCACAAAGGGCTTTCATACACTTCATCCACTGAGCCCCAAACCTGTGCAGCCAGCTCCTCTGAGGGTATGTAGTGCAGTCGTCCATCACCTCCGTCGGTCAAATCGTAGAGCTCATTCAAACAACTTCGACACTGCTGAGGCTACTGGGAAGGATTCTGAAGGCCTCTTGCAACGACACGTTTGTGTGGGTACGCTTTGCATGGCATCAATACACGCTGATGTCAGTAGCAGTGTTCAATTCTGCCTCGAAGTGGGCCCGCGGCCACAGGCAATACACAAACCACCTGCTCCTCTGGACAAATCTGAATACAAAAGGCTCAGTTAGTGCCTCAAATCAGCAAGTCTTGTCAGCAAGCATTGTTTTGAAATAGTTTGAAAGAGACATGCATGGAGATAGATAGTTCCTTATGTTCCTTTTGATTCCTTTGATTTGGCTTGTCAAATTATAGATTGTGTCCCAATGCAAAGCCGCAGATTCATCGAACACTTGCTGGTGATCGTGCCACTCGTTTCGTCAGGGAGATTGTTCGGTCCTCTTGCAAGCGCTGAAGGATTTGTGCACTATCAATCCCGGTCCTGAGACAGCATTGCAGCTTGTTGAAGCTTCCTTTTCAATGCAACCAAGACATTGGCATCCTTGGAGATCTGACGAGATCCAACACATTTTATATTTCTCACTTTATACGTCTGGGTGCCTTGCACTCGCCCCAGGAGTGGACTGCTCTGCCAACCACTTGCCGCCTGGAATCCATGTCAAGGCCCGGGGCCCTTGAATAGTTCTCTAGTTAGAGCTCTTTCTATGATTTGAGCAAGACTCAAGACTTGGTGAAAAATCAAATGGCCTGCAACCTAATGATGGGCGTACCAACTAATTCAGCCTACACTCTGCACTTGCAAGCCTTCTTCTGCATCTGCCATATTAGTCAATGTTTCAGAAACCTCCTCTGGCTTCAGCTTGGCTGCTGTCAATGTATTCCTACGACCTTCCGGAAAGAAAAACAACATGGTAGGCACACCCTCTGCGGAGCTGCACTGACAAGCTGAGAGCTTGCAAAAACCTGTGGCAACACATCACTGCGTGGATTAAAGGATTCCATTATTGATAAAAGCTTGTTCATCTGCACAAAACCATAATGAAACCATGTCCCTAGAAATCCTGCACAACATGTTTTCCAAGGCGCAGATAAGCTCTTGTTTGTCTCGAAGTTTCCTGTAGGTTTTGCCTGACAAAGGCTCAACATCATATCAAGCTTGAGAAATCCTTAAACAGTTCTGTGACAACTCAAACAACTCACGGGTAGATTCCCTTAGCCAAGTTGCAGCTACTCGGAGAAACAAATCCTGGACCTGGCATCCATGAAGTCATGCAGTAGTCAATGGTCAAAATACTCGCAGATGTTGAAAATTGTTCATTTCATTATGGCATTATGGGCACAAATGCAACAACACTTTTCCAACTGCTTCCCCTCTCCGCCGGCGTTTCTCCACTGGTGAAGCGCTGAAGCAAGCAAGTAAGGCCTGCGAGCACAGTCTGAGGAAGGGGCCACTGGCCTTCATCAGTTCATACCGAGACCTTTCTTCCTTTTTTCTAAAAGCGATGGCCTCCAACCTAATTAATAGCAATGGCCCTAGGCAAAGCAAGTTTGACCTTCAAAGGGATGCAAAAGGAGATATACCGATATGCCTCGTAAGCCGCCGAGACTTTGTGGAAGCTGGAGGTGCTCTGTGCCGCATGAGGCTGCTTGTCCGGATGCACCTCTCTGGCTTTCCTGAAATCAAGAAAGGTCTCCACCGAATGGAGCTTGAACACAGCACGGGCTTCGACACACATGCACACATTTCGACTGGATGGTTTCGAGAGCTGAGCCAAGCTTCCTGCGGTATGCTGCCCCAAGTTGTTGCAGCGTCAGCTCTTCGCAGTTCAAACCAAGCAACTCACATGCCCAAGCCTGCAAAACACATGCACAATTCTGAGAACAGTGTTATTTTCCTTTTAGGAGGTAGCTAAGCTAGGAGAAGCTAGGTAGCTAGTAGTTTAAGTTAGCTTGTAGTATGGACGCAGTGGACGCAGGATAGTAGCTCACGCTTCCTTGAAGAAGCGTTCGCACTATTCATTTGGTTACTAGATTTTGTGGGAAACTTAAGTTAGGTTCCATGATGTTCCATGTAGTTCCATAGTACATCCTCACCACGGTATCAGCCAATAGAGTACCAGTCCCTTGTATCACAGTATGTCTCACTTGGTGCTCGCCTCATTTGGGCCAAACCGCAAGCTCAGCAGGGGAGAGCTCATCTCCACCTGTGCACAAGATGTGGGACATTGCATCCATTAGATGTATATAAATCAAACATGACATCCCCGTTACAAACAACAGTGACAAAGTCACTCTTCTTGGCTCTCTCAGCATGCACTCTTATCATGTCTTGCCTGAACATTTCATTGCAGTTGATAAACATTCCTCATTCCAAGCCTGAAGCGCCCTTCTTGCGCGTTTCTTTCGTGGTTTTGGAGGCTCAGCAATCGGTGGCTCAAACCATGAGATGTGTCCAGCGTCACTGACCTCAGTCTCAGCTTGGACAGGTCTCAAATAAATACTTCGAGCTGACTTAGGAATCATTTCCCAAAGTACTTTGGAATGCTTTGTCAATTTTTTTCCTAACTTCGCGCCTCCAACTTCCACCATTGCCCTCCGCGGCGTGCTACATCGTGTTTGCCAGAAGGAATCGGAAGACAGTCAAAGGTCACTGCTTCTGCCCCCGACACATGTAGTCGCACCTCACAAGTTCGTTCGATCTCTCTCACACACCAGCCTCAATTCAAGCCAAAACTGCAGCCGTCGGTCCAAGTTCGCAACGGCACCGTGCTTTTGAAAGAAACACAAAGCATGCACTATAAAATATGAAATTCGCACACGCCAAAGGTGCTGAGGGGCGTAATTATGTTGAGGTGCGAGCACTGAGTTCCTGGAGCGTTAGCTCCAGGGGGGCATTTTCGTTCGGGAGCGGAAGTGCATATCATGCATAAGGTGTGTCTGGAAGGGAAGTGATGGAAGGTTTTGCAACATTTCATGTGGAGGTGGTGCGCAATATGATCTGGGACAGGACATGAAGGTTTGCACTGAGTCAAATTGTTGAAAGGAGTTGTTTGCTTGCCTTTCGTGACTGGCGTTGCAAATGATGCGGTATTGAGACATCACAGTAATTAAGGGTACTTGTCATCTCTAGGTCATCATGCATATAGTCAAGTGCATTGTAGTCACTCCATTTTTCGACCCCCTGGAAATTCTAACTTTTTGAGGCGGTCCAACTTTTATCCAACCTGCAAGTGTGTGTGTTTTCCCCAAGCCTTCTTTCATTCATCCACTGCATGGTACTTGTCATCTCTAGGTCATTTATTGTAATCAGTCTATTTTCCGACCCTGGAAGTTGTACATTTTTCCGGGGGTCCAACTTTGGTTACCCATCATCTGGGGTGTTGACTTGGACATGAATTACCTTTCCTTGCGCCCTCTCTCGAAGCAAACGGTGCGAGGCGGTTCTCGGCACAAAGCAACATGAATTCATTGCCCTGCAGGAGTGAATTTGTGGCAAAAATAAATATCAAACTCCAGTCCATCTCACACTCTCCATTGCTGAAATCACCTACAAGTCATCTGTGTGCAAAGCGCCTCCAAATCCCTCGCACAGTCCTCGCACATGCGATCTGCGACTTTCCGATCGACATTTACATGAGCATGAGCATTGGAAACATGTTGACGGCGAATGATTTAATGATACTGTAGCACATGATATGTTACGTTGTTACATGTTTGATACCATGTACAATATACATCAATATACTGTATAGCAGTGTGCGTTTTGTTCACTATATTGATATGTTTATTGTGTATATATATAATTATATACCATCCATTCTACACATAACCACATACCTGTTGTGTATGTCATATTCATATTCAACAAAACCATCACAGCCAGGACCTGGTAAATATCTCCGAAGTTCAGTCAATACTGTCCTTCATTGTGCATGAAACCAAGCGCAGCATGGGCACCAAAGTGGACTCAGAGTTCATGGGCCTCAAAGATCAGCTTTGCTTGGATGATTCCATGGATTAACAATGAAACCACATGAAACCTTTGTTTAAGCACCAGCGATTCATATTATGATTAATTAACTCACATTATATATCGTCATATTGTTTAATTGACCTGAGAGAGGTACACAAATACTTGTATAGCACTTTCGGCAGTACCATTATATATTCTCCTCTGATATCCAAGCGGCATGTCTACGTGATACACCAATCCAGCAGCGCTGCAGCAACGTAAATGACAGCTGTGCAGACAAATATCCAAATTGCCAAACACGCTGATGCCAATGACAGAATCCTCAGACGAACACTTCCATGATTTTGCGTAAAACATTGGCTTCTCCACTACACCGTCAGCAGTTTTCATTACAATGCCTGGATCAATTTCGCTGATTCTGGTGTGTCTGGGTTTGTGGAAAAGTCGTGGTTTCCCCAGAGAATGCACACAAACATGGACACATCAAATGAGGAAGCCTGAAGAAACAGCACGTGGGCAAAGAAAGGAAAGAAGAAGGAACAGGGCTGCGATGCTGTCTTTATCCTTGAACCCCATTGTACAATGTGGAAGCTGCTTTCCCAAGTCTTGAATGACAGATTGAGCTGCACCTTCCAACATGTGGAACAACTCATGTAAGGGTAAGGCACTGGGTCATCAGTGGAACTTACGTCGACCAGTAAGTCTGGATTGTGCCTTTCCAGCAAGACCCATGATTTGCAGGTGCAGGGAAAACCATGAGTCCAGCTTCCACACTCTCCTAATGCTGTGTGAACATATTGAGGAATCTCGCGAAAGGAGGAGGAGAAGGCGCGACGGTGAAAAAGAGGTCTTGATAGATCTTGTTATGCCAAAGGCTCAGAAACTTGGATCTGCTCCAATGTCACTGGGCCTCGCAATGAAACCCCCACACGGGCGCCTTTCACATGACAGCCACGCAATGCACACGCACCAGTCTCGCTCACCTCAATGCTGCGTGCCTCACAGGGATGGGTTGCCGCATGTGGCGGAACTCGGTTAAGGCCAAATGGTGTGCGCACTTGCTTCGGTGAAGAAAAAGAGAGGGGTCGGAAGAACATTCAGTCACCGAATGGCACAATACGCTGCTTTTCGTCAATGAACCTGCTGAACAGAATGCGGTCCCTTTTTCATACACAATGCAACCGACTAAACACACAAGATCTGGCAGGAAGGCAACGTGACATTGCTAAGGCCATAGAGACTTGAAGCTACTAGGAACAAAGGGCATCGCTACTAGGAGCAAGGACGCTACTAGGGGCGCTCCTGGCCTTACTACTAGGAACAAGAAGCTACGAATAGCTTGAAGTCTTGAAGCTACTAGGTGGAGACTTGAAAGAGAGTTGGACCCGTGCCTCTGCAATCTGCCATGGCCTCCACCCTAGTAGCAAAAGGAACCTAATAGCGATGGCTTTCAACCTAATTGCGAAGGTGAAGACATGATGTAAGATCACACCTCACTCCATGTCCATTGGATACTTTACGGACTTGTTCATATATGTTCATATCCTTCGTTACACATGTTATTCAACATTGTGGTCTTCGTCCGACCTCACAGTCCTCCAGTGTGCATCCGGCTCCTTCCTGATAGCACTCGAGCTGCTAACTCCAGCTTGTGAAATCAATTCCCAAGCCCCGAAACCAAACCAAGTGAGCTCATCTGAATTCAAAGCCAACCAAATCGGCACATCTGGCAGCTCCAAATGAAGTACTTACAACTTACAACATGCAAATCAGTGCAGTTGAGCCTCAAGATAAACGTTTCCACAGGTGACATGGCACATTTGCAACGTGCATGGAGACTCTGCTTGCATCTGCAGGTTGCCAAGTCTTGCACTGCGACACGCAGGTCCGGTGATCTCGACATGTTGCGGACCTCCTCACAACTGAAGGGGAAACAAACTGAATGACACCAAAACACGTGATCTACGATTTATGTTGATGGATTTTCTATCATTCAACATTCATGTTCAATCCAAGGACTGGGAAAATAATTTCGTTACATCCAGCTGATGACTGATGACTCTGGATAATTCTTTGCCAACTCTTGTCAGTTCTTTCTTGCAATGCTGTCTGGCAGCCATCCCGTCCTTTTGAGAGCAGTATCTCTAGTGGCCAAGCTTCCTTTGGCTCGGCATGATCCGCTTCCAGACTCAGCTCAAGTTTTTGCGCTCCTGGAGCAAAACATTGGAACCTCGAACCATCTCGAACCTCCAAAGCGAGGTATGGGGTGGTAAGATCTTATAAAATCAGTACTGTAATTTGTTTAAGCTCTCAACAGAAATTATATGCATCTCCGTCGATCGACACTCTGAAAGGTCTTGAAAGGTTCAAAGGACAATTTTTGGCTGGTCGCGTTTTTACATAGTTCCTTCAGCTGATAGCCCGACCTGTTTTGCAGCAGCGTGCAAAGCCCTCTTCAAGTGCATCCTTTAAAGTGCTGACATCACCAGGAACTGCCAACGCGACTGCCATGGGCAACGTCAGGTGTTCGGGGTTCGGGTCATTCGGCAGAAGCTCCTCGGATGAGCAGCTTGTCGCTACGTCGCTACTGTGGACAGCCAAGTGGTTTTGAGCTCACTGTCGCTGCCACGTGCTTCAACGGTCTCTCTCCCAAAAAGTCTCGGTCAGCAGCAAGTGCCCAGCTGGATGTGGGAAATGAAAAGGTGAACTTTTGGGTATATGCAATCTCTGTAGTTTCACTCGATCCAAAACGGCAATGAGTGACACTGCAGCGGTGCAAACTCGCAAACAACAGCGAACTTCAGAGTGTTTGGCATCCAAGCTAGAGTGTTCCGGGACTATTCTTCCACCGTGGTCTACTGGCATAGCTGCCAAGAAACGCGCGCCTCTGCACACAGCATGCCAGCTTCTTGCTTCAACAACCGAGCCCTTACCATTGCAAAAGTGCGTCAGCGGAATGAAGCGTGGCACCTTCAAAATACGCGTTCTAACACCGCAATCCTACATAGTCACATAGTCACATAGTGCTTGTTTTACCCGACGCTGTATGCACTGTTGGAAGTTGGAACTTTGATTGGGTGGAATCTATGCGGCTCTCCAAGAGGTATTGTGGCATGATAAGTCATGCTTTCATTCCTGACTATTAAAGCCATTGCTTTGTCGCTAGGGCTTCCAGCACCATTTCTGCACTCTCAAAGGATGCATTACAGAGCGCCTCAGCCAGGAAGATTTACTTCTGCTTTGTCAATACAACCAACGACCTTCAGTACGGTATAATTTGGTATAATCTTTCCACATTGTCAAAAATCTCAAATCCTCAACTGGGAAAGAACAAGCACTAACATCTACCAAGATTAACACCTCCAGTGCATCCGGATCTTCCTTGACCTGTAATACTCACAACACTGTCGGCAATGGCCCAAGGATGGTATGGCCCGTTGGTGCAATTGCCATTTACTGCATGTTGGACAGCCTCGAACTCTTTGCATTCTGCAGATAGTCTGGCCCATACTCGTTGCCTGGAGAGCCGCGTTCTAACTGGTCAGGATCGAGGTTGTTTCTACGCTGGAAGCATTCCGCTAAGATAGAAACGACAAGGATGGCACCAAAACTGGCCGAACTCCAAGGACTGCACAAAGAGCAATGTCACCTTGTTATCATCGCTAGGTTGGAGGCCATCGCTAATAGCATCTATTAGGTTGGAGGATCTTTTATACACCAGATCAGCCGTTCTTCATCAGAATGCCCTGTCTCCATACCTCACTCTTGAGCTCGGCACCCAGCAGGCCCTCCAGCCTTAAACATTAAAAGAACTCTATCATTCGGTCTTTCTAGACACCAATCAGCACAAACGTTTGATATCTTCACTCTTTAGACCTTCTAGACCTTTCTTTCTTGTCTTGTCTTCTTTCTTGTTTGTTTTGCTAATCTCTTTTCATCCTTTCTGTGGCTGTAGCTCGGAGGACTGTGTCTCCATCAAGAGTCGTCCAGGGATGTGAAAGACCATGATACTCTGCCGAAACCTTGGGCAAAAGATTGTCACAACTGGTCACAGATTCTTTTCACACTGGTTCCGCACTGCATCACCATGTAGTTTCGCACGGGTTTTGATGCCGCTTGGAGCGCTGGAGTGAAACGTCGAACGTGCAGCGCCATCTTCCCAGTGCAAACATCTGTTTGCAAACAGAAATCTGGCGCGGGCCAGTGTTCAGGTCTTCTGCTCGATTGAACCGTATGCCTCTTGAACCTGAGCAGGCAACAAATGTCCTTCGTTCCATAGGCGGCAGCAAGATTTCAAACGTTAAAAAAGGTCAACATCGGATTCGGATGGATTCGGACCTAAGGAAATCGCATTTCACCGCCAAGTCGCAGCTTCGAGAGAAATTTGTCCATTCATGAGCCGGTGTCCAAGTGACGCCATGCCTTCCCTGGGCGAGATGTTTGACAAACGCACAGCTTTTCTCATCGACTGCGACAATCAAAGACTTCTGCCCGAGAGTATGTAAAGAACGAACCGATTGGGGACAAGTCGATTTAGACAGATGCCAAGCAGTGGCGCGATAGATAAGCGATGGTCAAAACCTCCGGTCACTATGGTCACTGTATTCCTGCCTTGTAGCACGTTCTCGCTCCTCCATCTCTTCGCGGGCGCTCTGTTGTGTTTGAAGGAGTGCATCTCCGAGTCTCCTTAGCTTTTGTGTTTCACTGGACTGCAAACAAGGCAAGCTGCCTTGTGAAGTAAGCTCAGATTATTCAGTTAGTTCCTCTCAGGTTATTTGAGGAGTATGGCTGCAACCCAGCAAAATGACAAAATCAGTGAGATCTGCAGATTTCTTTGTCGCGTCACGAGAGCACATCATTCTCAAGCTCGAGATCTTCACCCAAGGTGTTTAACCTGAAAAAGAACGAGCTAAAAACACGAAAGGTCAACATCACTGAAGACATCCTGGTATGTTTATATTGATTCATTAATCTATCTGATTCTTCGCAAAGGCTATGGTTTTCCTATTTTCGGTGCTGATGGTCCAAAAAGAGCCTCTTGTATCCTCCGGTCATCTAATGTTGACGCGACAAAACCGTGTAGTTTAGTACAGTTTAGTCTCAGCAGCTCGTCGAGAACTTCTTGGAGTAGCTCGGCGCCTGCATCTCTCCGATGTGGAGTCTGATTAAACGAAACTAAGCTACTGGAGGCCAGGACTTTAACTTTCTTCCCAAGGCTCATGGACGACTATAGTTCACTGCTTATTTGGGGTGTGGGTGGGAAAGCGGTGGGAAAGCAAATGATCGCCTTTTGTGCAAAAGATCTGTTGAACATGACTTACTCCGAGACAGGCATTATAGTGCTGGAGAGAACCCTTTGTGACACTATCTACATCGCACAGCAATCTTGCTTCAGCCTGCCTTGCTCCTCGCACCAGTCCCTAGGTGTTCAAACCATCCAAATCAAACTGTGAAATCTAGGATAATCATGGATAATCAGAATCATATAATCCAGCTTTCAAGTTTCTGCACAATGTGTGGGATATCCATGGATATCCCTGCCCTGAGAATTTCTGACATACTTGGACTCACTGAGGCTCCTTACTGGATGTCATCAGCCCGATCAAGAAGGTTTGCCTGTCGCAAAGCAACCAACTCGTCAGCTGGCCTTTGGTGTCCCCAGAGGCTTGCTCTTGGGCCTTGAGCAAAGCTTCTTGCAAATAGCCTTTGATCTCTATGGGCCTCCCTTCCTCCTGGAATCATCAAAACGATTTGTTGGTACAACAAGCTGCAGGCTGTGTGTTCACTCCTTCAACTTGCTCTGGACACCACCTGGAGCAAAGCCTGGCGGACCAGTGCAGTGCACAAATGCACGCATTGTTGCATGCAAACAAGTTTCTTGAAACCAAACATAGAATTAAAATAAGTTTATTGTTTCTATGTCATTCTTGTTTCTAATTGCTTCTTGTTACTACTAGTAAGGCACTTGTTACTAGAAGCGTTGCACTTGTTCCTATATAGTAGCTTATTGTTTCTAATAGCTATGCAAACAAGTGTTGCCTTTTTTCAATGTCGATAACATCGCCAGGAACACTTGTTGCACGGAAGTGCGCCGACTCCTCCCAAAACGCTGAGTGGAGGAGCAACAAGGAGTAAAGTGGAGTGGCAGCATTCATGATCAGTCCCCCGATGTGTATCCACAGGAGTTTGGGTGACCTGTCCAAGACATTTGTCACCTGTCAAGACCTGTTGATGAGGGATTTGGAGATTGGCCCACCCTCTCTCTGTTTGCTGCGTGTCAAGTCCTCCGCTTGAAGCGCAGTTCGAATGGCACACCTTGGCCTGGCTCAATGACTTGCATTTTCTAGATACAGTACAAGGCAGCATGTCAAAGGCCCTGAGATTGTTCAAATCCTGTAAAGGCACTAAAGTCACTAAAGGATCTATATAAAAGTACCATGTATCAAGAATTCAGAAGCACCAAAGGAAAATATACGCAGCCGTAATGATGCCATGAGGTGCAAACAGACTACTACCAATGAAATGTCAAGTCTGAAAATACTTGCAACATCGCCATAATTTGCAGCCGGTGGAGGTCCCAAAGTGTAACTTGCATGTTTCCGTGCTTTGGCGCCTCAACAATGTGATATGTCAATTGTGTCCGTAGAAAATGTAATGTTACATGTTGCAGGTTCCCGCGCAATTTCACGTAAAAGCCTGGGGACCATTTTTTCCTGCGACTTACATGTAAAGGAACAATTGAAGGAAAGAGCAAAAAGGAACCTCCAAACATATAAGTTACATTTTTGCGGGATGGCTGGGAAACATGTACCTTACCTTTTTGGAGGTTCCTCTTTCTTCATTCCTTTCTTTGTTTCTTCGTGTTTTCCTTTCTTTAGACCATTCTTGTTGTTCTTTCTGTCTTCCTTTGTTCCTAGTAGCTTTATGGACTATTTGTTCCAGTGTGCATCTTGCAGCTATCTAGTTTCCATGAGTTTCCTTTGGATTTCTAGATGCGTATCGACCACAGTTTTGGAGACCTCTGAAATCGTAGCTTACATGTAACCTAGAGCCAATGGCTTTTGGCAGTTACGAAATGTGACACACCATGACAAAACAATTCAAATCCCACACTCATCTCTAGCGTGAAACCCCCGAACAAATGTGCTTAGGCTTCAGGGCATGCAGAAATGTAACTTGCAAGGTGGGAGGTCTGATGCTGCACTTGTTAAGCCCCCCTCCACCAAAATAAATACTACGGAGGTACCTGGGGCGTCTCAAGTTACTTTTGATTTTGGGTCACGGGGATCCTGGAAATTGCACCTTACTTTTTGGGCCTCCCTGCCCAAAACCACGGTCAGTGGGTAGGAATCTTGCAACTTGCCTGTGCAACGATAGAAAAGAAGGCCCGGGCACCTGGGGAGCCAAGTGTGTACAAGCTCATCTCAAACCAATTTGCAAAGATAAGCAAAAACAGCATGGCGCGTCTGAGCAACATACCAAGCAAAAAAGAAGCACTGGCCAGGTTATCACCTGGCACGGCTTTCTCACGCAGCCAGTGATGTGTGCAGATCCCTGAGACTGATCCCAAAAGTGCTCAATCACTGAAAATAGTAACAAGGAAGCTATTAGAAACAAGTGCATCGCTACTAGTAACAAGTGCCTTGCTAGTAGTGACAAAAAGCTAGTAGGGGCTCCTGGCCTTACTAGTAGTAACAAGGACGGGGGGGGGGGTAGGCCGCGGAGGTTCTGCAAAGCGAGGACAGCTGAGTTTAAACCACACACTGTGTCAAAGCGAATTAATGCCGTCCAGGCCTGTTTCCTGCTCATCCTGGCGGTCCTGCACGATTACTCCAACATGTGTTTCAATTTTTATATCATGCACCGTGTCAAGCATAACATGTTTGTATGTGACACAAGTCCAAATGC